GTTCCCAGTTAATAGAGATCTCAAGCCAACAGAGCTTTGCATGTGAGAATTGACAAGATTAATGATTCACAGTATCTCAGTTTAGGCTGACACTCCAAGGGCAGCCATAACACTGAGTCCTCTGTGCGCCTTTGTGTTAAAAGTGTGCCAACACTGGCAGACTATGAATGTGAAAATGTTAGCTGTGCTTAAAAATACCTCATGGAAAACACTGAGCATCAGCACAGTGAGTTGCCACTGTGGGTTTGGGTCTGATCGACTTCACTGTGACTGCTCTGTCAGGCAGTGAGGTCACAGTGCGTTAGGCTCTCATTAGGGTCAAAAGGCCTGTTTACACAAGGCTGATAAAAGGCCTAATAATTGAGGATTGGGTTCTGTAAATCTTTGATGTTCACATTTTCAGCACTGAAATTGAAAAGGGCATTTTTATTGTGAGGCAGCTAAAGGTCCAGGACCTTAATTTTCAGCGGTATCTTGTTTCCTGCAAATTATGTCATGATTTTAAATCGTCTTCCCCTTCTCTTCTGTGATTTACAGAGGTGTGTGACAGTCCACTGGTATCCAATCTACTGCCCTCATCATTCAGAAGCTCTTCACAGTTGTCTGGCAGCCATGGGCCAGGCTTCGCTAAGCTGAACCGGAGAGAAGGTGAGTAACAGTAACCGGTACAAAAAATGACCATGGCTGATGTCTCTAAAGGTTTCTGGGACATAAATCTGCATGGTGAGGTATTTTACAACACAAACCAGCACATTCACTACAGTAGGGGATGTTTGACTAAGAAATGCTAATTCGCTTGAAAGTGAAAGCATCATAATTCATTAACACAGGCGATAAATTATTTTAGAACTTTCTCCACAATATTTATGTTTTTATGTGTTTCTACCATAGAGTAGCAGTACGTCAGCAATGCTTCAATAAAAGGCTGTAATATTAATAAAAACACATTATAACCAGCAGTAACGGAGCTTTAGTGAGGTGCTTGATGTGCACTGTGAGTAGGCAGCTGTTATTCCCCCAGAGAAAGGTCCCAGGGGTGACTGTTTTCTCTTGACCGACTCATAGCTTCATTCTCACAAAAATACAGATGGACCAATTCCCACCTGCACCCTGACTAAACATGGCTTCCCACTGTGGATATTTCCCTGGTGCAGGTTGGATTTGTGCACATTCATTGGCCAAAGTCCCCTCAGTGGTAGCTGTCCTTTACCAACTCATGTTTAAAGAGTTGAAGTTTTCTTGATTAATTCATTTCATGCCATGATACTGCCTGATCACCATTAACTGGATGTCACTGTTCACAAGAAACCTGCCTTGCCTTGTAGATTTCAAAAGGCCACAGTAGTTTTCCATCTGTTCTATTTCTCCCTCAGAGATACTCCCTACTATTCATATATAATATTTAGCAGTTTAACATCAATAAATTATTGTCTTCTTCTCACTTTTTTCCTATCTCCAGTTTTTTTCCTCCAGTTGTGCAGATAAAATGAACTGTAAAAGGAAGCTCCCCTCTGTTTTCTTCTGATGTGCTCATCTCATGAGTCACTTCCCTGCAGAACACATGGCACACAGCATCAAAGACTGGTCCCAGTTGGATTCACAGAGACTGATAGACACCTTGAAGGCTGAATGATGGACAGACAGACATAACGGTAAAGCCAGAGCAGAGTAGTGTTTACTGCTGGCTTTGTTTTAGGTGAATCTATTAGGTAATTATGTTTGTGTTTGGAACGTTTGAGAAAACACGCCTGTGTGTGGCCCATTCTTGCAGGAAGAGTTGGCTGGTTTACACTGACGCCAGAGACTAGAATCAGATGGAAGTGCTGTGATGGCTTTGGCTTCAATGCAGCAGAGGATCTTAATCATTTTCACTGCTGGGGAAACTGCAGGAAGCACAGCCTGCAGGTTGCAGTTTCTTTGACGTGTTTGATGGCAAAAGCTGCGAGCGAACACACCCGCTGTGTTCCTTCACTGCAGTCAGCCTGCTCTGTCTGTTTGCCAATCTGAGCTTGATCTGCATAGAGGGGCATTAGATGCTTCTAAATGAAGTACAGGTGCATCTACATTTTTAAATATATATTTTTTCACAACTGAAAAACAAAGAGGCAAGAAATGAAGTGATTAAACAAGACGGAAACTGAAAAGAGAGATGCTGAAGATGTGCTTCTGGTTTTGCATATTTGTCAAAGAAAATAAACAAACACTTTTAGTTCTCTGCCAGCATCATTTTCTCATTCACCTGTTGGTTAGAAACATATTTCATGCTATTGAACTTGTGCATAAATGTCACTGTGCACACAAATCATCACTGCCTCCTAGAAATTACATTGATATACAACTAAACCACAACAGCAACCATGTTTTGTAGGAAGTATAACTGCATCCAGGTTACGTTTTCTGTTAATGAGGGAAAAGTTTAAAATGTACATATTTGGGAAAGTTGCAAATAATTTGTTGTATATAAAGGGAATTTCTAGGAGATGGTATTAAGATTCCACTGATTTGCATGCAGTATATATTGAACATGCATGAGGAAAAACTGTGGAGCCAGTGAAACTTCTGAGATGAAATGTTGGAGAGCTTTGAGAGTTCCCTGATGCAAAACTGGCAGCCTCTTCTGGTTCATAAGGGTTTTGGTAATGAGCTCATGTAATTCCTGGTCAGTCATCTTTACTATCAGTAACACCTCATACCGCCTTAATTTTCTGCCCAAGATTAGGACTGAATTAAAATTTAAAGATGAATTAGGTTCTGTTCTGAAAGCAACAACCCATGTTTTAGAAGGAACCCACTATATAAAAAAATGCACCCTGGATGTAAAAATAACTGTGTAATTCCAGAAGCCCAGATGTTTTCCATTGAGTTCCCAGTGAATAAATTAAAACCCTGCTAATGCTCCTCAACCCCTCTAGTCCTCTTCCGAGGAGCCGCTTCATTCAGAGTTAATTCACTAGCAAATGGGCCAAGAGTCATGCAACACACAGCTCTGTTTAAGAAAATGACTGTGCTAATTTAGCTTCTTCTGCACACAATAGTCTTGTTGCATTGTTAACCTGTGCATTAATCTAGGGAGCATTGTTAACAGTACAGTACAAATTACTTTCAGAGTGAAAGAGCTGAAAACAAAACATACACGACTCTGAGATTATCCTCATTTATCCACAAAAACCTACTGCCAGCAGTATCATTTGGAAAACGTTGTAATCACTTACAGTATAAATAGTGATCACACTGCCTTTATGAAAAGAAATGCCATTTATCAAAACTGCTGCTCTGCCTCTACCACTGCGGGCGGTTTTTCATTAAATGGCCTCATAAAATGGAAAAATTATATACCTAGTCATTCTCTGCAAATTGTAGGCATTTCCTGAGGACATACAGTGAATTGAATCAAAATGAAAATGCTTTTTTCTTTCTTTTAAAATTTGCTGCACAATATGAATGTTTATCAAGTTATCACCAGTCTAACAAGCAATTAGTTACTAATTCTGTCACACTCACTATCATGCATATTGTTTAACAATCAAATCTGTAAGTACTTAATGAAAATGTTTCTAATATCTAACAGTGTTCTTAATGAAAATGTTTCTAATATCTAACTGTTTTTTATCACATTGATCCTGCTCTTTTTGTCCCTGTACAGTTTATTTTTAGTGATGTTGACAGACTCTGTGTATCTGTCTTTTGTCTTGCTTCCTGTCTGTCAGTCAGAATAACTGTTTTATAAATGGCCAAATGAGCTTTTTTAAATTTTTTTATTTATTTATTTGTTGCTTATGGTGAAGCCGACAGCTCGACCAGCACTGTGATTAAAATGTGATTTATTTCTGCATCACTTGCAGCAGTTTATATATAAATGTTAACTACCAGTCCCCTGTTCCAAATATGCAGACGGACACTAGGGCACAGTCTTCAGTTTGGGTTCAAAACAGCAGTGCTGTATTTGGGAACCAAATTCCTACATGTATCTGCAGTTGGATGGGCATGAAGTATTCCAACCATGATTGCTGCAAAAACTTTGGCTATAAAAGTAAATAAAGTTCTTTTAACAAAAAGCATCCTTAAGAAATCCAAAGTCACTTAAGTTTTTCCATGTGAAAGTTGGGTCTGATTCCTTTAATGTGCTTCTTGGTGGAAGTGTTGAAACCTCTTGTTCATATGAGAAGATGCTGTATAAAGTGGACATCCAGTGATGTTCCCTGAAGGCTCCTCATTGTCTTTCACTGTAACTATACTGATGCCAAGTGGCTCAGTTGGCAAAGGGCCCAGATTCAAACATTCTTAATAAAAGAACCCTGTTAGAGACATCATTCTGTTTCTAATCTGTGGCTCTTCCCATAAAGGACTGACACTGATTACGTTCTGTGGTTGTTATCAAAGTGACTCAGAAGTGAGCAGCCATTTAAAAAGTAAGGCACTGCTTTTGGTTTTGTTACATTATCAGTGTGAATTGTGACCTGTTATGACTTTGTGGTATTGTATTATTACTTCTGTCTTTATGAATTCTGTACTTCTTCAGGAGGCTTTCTGTGAGGGGTAGATTATTGTTTCCTCTGACCACTCCTGCTGTGCACAGTTTCGAACCCCCACTGAAAGGCAGCTTTAATGTTGTGCACTTAGGATGAGATGGTGGAGGTGGTAGCAGTGGGATAAAATTAAGAGATACTTAGGAGTAAACTGCTCGGGGTTAGACATTGCAGCAACAATGACTGAGGCGAGAACAAAGCCATCAATGGGATAAGACGCTCAGAGGATGCTGTAGGGCTAGTGAGACGGATTTCTTATAAACAAAAGCTATGTTCACCTTCAGTGTTTTTTATCCTGGACGTGTAGCAAACATGTTGGGTGCATTCCTTCCTCATCAAATAGTTGCAGCGTTTTATAAATTTCAAATCCTGTGCTGTTAAATCAGTGTCTTTTACTAGCACATTGCCGAGTTAATTTGCATCACCAGATGTTAATCTGTAAAATGGCGTGAAACAAAGGGCAGCTGCCCGTGTGCATGCCTGTGCATCCTCGTACATGACAGAAACAAAACCCTCCTGCAGAGCCCTACTCATGGTCTACCTTCAGGGTTAGACACCAAGGGCAAAAGAGGCTAAGGAATAAATAAACATCATGGCAAAGAAAGGTAATATATAGTAACGAGGGTTAGGGTCTAGGCAGAGCATAATGCTGTATAATGAAGGTTCTCACAAGAGTTTCAATATAAACACTGGGACTTGACATTTTGAAACACACACACATATCTTGTGGAATTTCAATCACTGAGCATGTCTTTATTTTTTCATCACCTGCCCTGGTTCTCAAGTTGCAGTATATGAAGGCCTTACCACTTTCACTATTTTGCAGTATAAACCTTGCTGCGTCCGCCATGGCTGCAGCTTATATTATGTGGAGAACAGTCCTTAAGCTACAGATTAAACTCTTTTGACTGGTCCAAATTAAACATCAAAGACAGAGGTTGATAAAGCGTTTGTGCTCAGGGCTTTTAAACTTTGGAAAAGTTTGGGTCTGATGAAACAAGTTTAGTAAGATTTGCCTTCTTTCAGCTGAAAATTCTGCATGGATTTGCATTTGTCTGAAAGCATTTGTTCTTGTTAATGCAGTGATATTATTCACAGGATTCAGCAGATTTTTACATATACCTGAATATTAGTTGATGTTTTAATTTATTTTTATTCTCAACTTTTGAGAAACATTAATGCTATCGTCACTGTTTGTTCATTCTGCTTCACCCAAATATGATTTTATGGGGAAGAAAGTGACATGCAGACACAACGTCTCCCCCTCCTCTCTCTGTCTAGGAGCTGGAGGTTGGTCTCCTCTGAGTTCAGACCGGTATCAGTGGTTGGATGTCGATTTGGGTGAGCGGACACAAATCACTGCTGTTGCTACACAAGGCCGCTATGGCAGCTCTGATTGGCTGACGGCCTACCTGCTGATGTTCAGCGACACAGGACACAACTGGAAACAGTATCGACAGGAGGACAGTATAGGGGTGAGTGTGCTGTAATAAAACTGTACTGACATCTGCATGGGAATGTGCCATTAGCTCATAACGGGCTCTTTTTACTTATCTTAAAAAGGAGCTACCAGCATTATAAAGATACTCAGTACACAAAATGTCTCAAATTGTCAGAAATGTATGCTGTAACACACACAACCTAAAGGAAAACTGTTTAAAACAATATTATTAGATAGACTGTCCTGAGTGACATTATTAAAAAGTGTAGTTGTAAGGCACCACAAAAGACCTAGCAGAGAGACAAAGGGGCTTTATACTTTATACTTAAGTTTCGTTAGAAAGGCCTGAAGCTCTATCCCAACAATAAATCACAAAATAACTATCACCTATTGTTAGTTGTTCCCCCTTTGTTAATGAGTCAGGTTTGTAAAATGACCAAACTAAACTGCATGAATAATCAAAAGATTTGTGGACAGCGGCATCGCACTAGAGCAGCTCTGTGTCCATTAACAGTCAGTTTTCCAGACAAGCTTTGCCACTGATGCCTAACCAAATATTCAAGCTGCATGTCAGGTTTATTGAAGTTCATTTACACCTTGCACATACAGTAGGGTATGGCATCACAGCTACTGCTACAAACACAGTATTCCCACTATTACTGTGATGCTGTGACAAACAGCTCAAGTTTAGGGATGATGGGGATGAGGTAAGACTCACAGCGAGGGTAAAACTAATGCCAGGCTAAGACTCTTTCAGAGAGAGAACACAAAAGGGCTTCTCACAGCTTAAAGGCTTGTTGATTTCACACTCCGCATAAATCTGGATGGATCCACACCACGACTCAAAAGTCCTTCTAAAGCTCCACATTAGACATTCTAGTTTATTCTGGCTTTCGTGGAACAGAACTGACTGCTGAGCTGCTTCATCAGTCACACTTCCGCCAGGACCCGTCTTTCCTTTAAACTTAGAGGCCAGCATTTGTAAGTAATGTTCTCTTGCTCTCTTAGTGTCTTCCCTTCTCTTATCATCTCTTCCTCTCTTCACTCCTGCTACAAAGGTGTGAAGGAGCAGATGGTGTTGAAAATGTACACTCACAGGCCACTTTACTAGGCACATCTGTAAAATTCTATGCAATTCAGTGGAACACTTGTGCCTTAACATCTATGTTTATGGAGCTTGAAGTGTTTGAATTTTTGGTGAAACTGTCATAAATGTATAAATTCAGTTGCGTGTTTCCATTGAGGTCATAGTTAAAGGCGGTGTCGTACTGGATTACATTATATTTAAAGGTGTTCCTAATATTCTGACCCTCCTCTGTATGTAGCTGAGGAGGGAAAAAATATAGAGACACCTCTAAATATAATGTAGTCCAGTACCACACCACCTTTAACTATGACCTCAATAGTAAACATGTAATTCAAATTAGACATTTATGACATTTCCATCAAAAACTGAAACGTTTTGAGCTTCGTAAAGGTGGAAGTGTTGTATTGAACTGTACAGGTGTACCTAATAAAGTGGCCGGTGAGTGGATATCAGATTAGGAAATGTAGCGTCCTAACAACATATTGTTTAATTAACTATTTGAATTCTATGTCACTGCAAAAAGACTCAAATAGCAAAAGTAGAGGAGTGTTTTATAAAGAAAGTTGATAAAAGCCCTAGAGATCAAGTCAAATGTGAAGCTTAAAGACAAAAGAAATGTGTTCTAGGACTGCAGAAGTTAATAAATGTTATTCTCAATGGGCCACATGTTTACCAGAGCGTGTAATACATATAAATCAACACCTAGTGCCTCATAAATCTAGTTTTCTACCTGATTGAGAAACCAATCACCAGCAATGTAACCCCATCGCCACAATATTCTCTTCATTAAGAAGAAAATCCTACATATCGCTTCACACAGAAGCTTTATAAAAAACAAAAGCACATCTTCACTTATTTAGCTGTATAACTACAGTAAAGATCCCAAAGGGAAAGGTGTTATTTCTGTGCTGGTGCTTTGTGGTGTCTCATAAGCAACAGATGGATGCAGAGCCAGAAAAACTGGTAACTTTCTGTTGCTCGTGTGTTTTTCCAGGCTTTTCCAGGTAACAGCAATGCAGACAACGTGGTCCAGCACAAGCTCCAGCATGCAGTGATTGCTCGCTACGTCCGTCTGATCCCCCTGGACTGGAATCCCAGTGGACGGATCGGACTCAGGCTGGAGACCTATGGATGTCCTTACGGTCAGTTCTTGCTTTTTTCTTTGCTCTTCATTTACAGGCATAAACTGAAAACATGACATCAGAGGCACACAATGCCAGTAGTTTCACACCATGAAATAGGATGAAAAAAATCTGGTTCTTGATCAAATTCAGGACAATTTGAATTATACAATCCAACAACAGTCCCTGTCAGCACCTCATGTTTTTATCAGTGACCATTATGGATGAACCAAGTTTCAGAAAAGAAGTCTTCTAAATCCTTAAGAAGTCATCATCTGTGTTTTGTTGATTCAACATCTAAAGAAGTCTTGAATTTTAGGAAGGAATTCCATTTGATCTGGGACAGATTAAATGCACAAATGTCTACTTTCAGTCTTTTATGTTAAACTCAAAACTAGCAGTATGTGCAGCATGCTGAATTTCAGGTTTTAATATGAGCCCTGCGATGGATTGGCGACCTGTCCAGGGTGTACCCCGCCTTCGCCCGATTGCCGGCTGGGATTGGCTCCAGCCCCCCCGTGACCCCGTTTAGGGACTAAGCGATAGAAAATGAATGAATGAATATGTACATGAGGATTAATGGAAACATTCCTTATATGTATACAATAAACACATAATACTGGAGGAGCAGCTGGGAAAGGAGCAGCAGGCCAGGGCCAATCAGGAATAAGCTACACGTGTGACAGTGGGAGCCCACCTGGATCCTGCTTGGCAGGTGAGGAATGGGCTGAAAAACCAGATGCAGCATGGGAAGAGGAGGACTGAGGGCAGATGAGGACACAACAGCTGTGGTAATGACAGTAACAAAAAGCTTGCCTCTTCTTGCATCTGCTGGTTGGCAGAGAGGTTCATTGTGTCACATGAATACAGGCAGAAGCTAAATGTCTGTGAGATGTCAAGCCAGTGTGGAAAGTTAATGAGTTCTTCTTTGCCCCCAAACTGTTTTTCCACAGACTTGTCATGCAAATTCATCTATGCAGCTACATCCAAAAAAACAAAGAACCAAACCGTCCAACTCTTTATACGAAGGCAATAACAGCGAGGAAACGACACAGGGCATGAGCGAAATGATTGAGTTGTTTTTAAAAAGAAGTTGTGACATTTGCAAAGCAGGCTACGCAAATAAATTAACCCTGTGATATCACAGCATAAGGGACCTAAAACACACAGAATGGATTGAGTTTTGTAACCGCTGTGTAAAAACGAATTATCTCTGAAACAGTGTTGCTGGTAACAATAGCTAGTGTCTGCTTCTCTTTCGGTTCGGTTTGATTTAAGGACTGCTTTCAGCTAGAAGATATGGGCTTTAATTAGACTCTAAGGATGCTGGCAAACCTTCCCAGTTTGATCCAAAAGGTAAAGAGGGAGAAAGAAAACCACTTCTGGTGCTTTGACTTTTGAATAATTGGCACTGTTTCGTTTACTGTCAGCACTAAAGGCCAAGCGTACTGAATGCAATAACTGATGTTTCTCAGTTGACATTTCTAAATTGGGGCTTCAGCAGTGACACGGTGGCATCAGCACAGCAACAGTCGCCACCATGATGGGTAATGCTGGTGTATAATTGTCTGTAGAGTGGTATGAAAACTCTACAGATGCTTCCCACAATCTGATGCATGCTAAAAGATCATTTGTTTTTGTCACCTCCTGCACAACCTTTGGTCCCATAGTTGGGACAATCTACATTATTCACATTTATTTTATGCCTTATTGAATGTACAGTATATCTCCGTTAGCCTTGGCACATCACTGTATTATGATTTGGTTTCAGATTGAATGTTGCAGACTGTGCAGTTTTGCTGCTTTTCAGACTCTGATGTGCTGAGCCTGGATGGCTGCAGCAGCCTTCTCTACAGGTTGAGTCCCGGGCCAAGGCACGTGACCAGAGAAAGCATCTCTCTGAAATTTAAAACGCCGAGGAACTCCGGGATACTGCTTCATGCGAAGGGACGGAGCGAGCTCAGCCTCACCCTAGAGTTAGAGAAAGGAAAGCTTCACCTGCTCCTCCAAAAAGGTAAAACTCTGAAATCCTCACACACACAGTGTCAGACTGTTGCTGCCTCACATTACACAACCATTTCTTGTATCCATTGCCAAATGTTTCCAAGTCTTACAAACCTTTAAGATGATGCAAATAACTTAGTGATTGTTGTGCAAGTGTATTTAAAATTAAAGCTTGAACTTCACTTCATTCATTACCAATGGTTATGAAAGGCACGATACCATCTCTGAAGAGCAGAAATAAGATTATTTGTGTGGCATTATGATCTGCTTTTTTGTTGCCGCTCAGGTTGCAGGAGCTGTTGTCAGAAGCAACACTTTGATTTGTTTGAGTTGTGGCCTAAGGCAGACTTTGTTGCTGTTTGTGTTTTTTCACACTAATGGATTTCGGGGTATGTAAGTGCCAAGTTAAGTTCTTCTGCTTCATCTGTCAAATAGAGAGCATGGACGAATATCTGAGTCTGTCATTACTTGTAAAATGCTGAATTTTGAGAAAGTAACCCTGAGTCACTGTATACAAGCTGCCCCACATGAAAACACCCCATCATGAGGGTTTTGATCCTCTGTGTACACTAAGCTGGTTTCAGCGCTCGTGGTGTTTTTCCATCAGCATGGGTCAGCCCTGCCGAACCGAGATGTGCACAGCGGAGCCTTGACAAGCTGTTTCCATTGCACCATAAAGCACGTGGGTTATCTTCTGCATCTTGATCATGTGGGGTGGTACCAGCCTCTGAGAAATGACACAGTGTCGCTGTGGTGTTACCAGCTTGGTGCTAGGCATTATTTGAACCCCCTCACCAAAAGACCAAGTGAGAAGCTTCATTTTCAGATCTTGCTGCAGTGAAATTCTGAATAAAAAGTGAACGTGTAAGGCCTTTCCCTTAGCACAGCATTTCAGCCAATAACAAGTCTTGATGCGTCTCCACTCAGCCTGGGCAGAAGCAGGGCAAGCTGAGCCCGAGTCAGCATGATTACACCCTGCTGCTGGAAATCGAGGCCAACCTGTGCCCGCCTGAGCCCGGCTCGATTACAGTGGACTGACCCAGGCTGATGGAAAAACACCAGCAGACACACGGAAGACACTTGGTTCCACTGCTTACCTGGAGCTGTCCAAACTGTTGGCTTTTTTTAAAAATTATATAATCACTCTAAAAGCTTCCAGTTTCCTTACTGAATTACATTCATCAAAATGTCAGTTTATAGCTCTGCAGCTTGCTGGTACATAAATCAGCTCAGTTCTTTTTTTCCCCTCTCAGGGATCATTTTACCAAAGTGGATAGCCTGTACCAGGGATCAATGCTCACTGATCTCCAGTGCCTTCTGGTTGTACTTTTGTTAGGTAATAAATGAAGAAAGTGTCATTAAGGCAAAAGGATAAAACTTGAGGCTCTTTCCCAAATAAAATAAAAATGCAACCCACCAGATATAAATTATGTACAATGTATTTTTGAAGTCTTGCACTGCAGTTTGCTGAAGTATAGCATTTTATATTATCCATGAAGTTAATTTATGACCTGAAAGAAGAGGCTCAAATTTCCAAAGGAGCTGGAAGTAGCTGCCGGTGAAGCTCGGAGTTTCAGGTAGAAGCAGTTGAAACAGAATCCTGATTTCTGGTCTGAGTGTTTGTAGCACTCATATGTTTGAGGTGAAAAATATTCAAAACTAAAACAAAAAAATATGCCTGTTGGACACAGATGTTGACCTATTCTAGATGCAGTTTGTTAGCTCAGTTGTCACAGTGAATGGTGGGCGTTGTGTAGCGTTCAATACTGCAGTATTGACTGACCATGTTACTCTGTTCTGTCCATGGCAATTTATTGGAAGGTCTCTCAGTTGTGTTCAGTCTTGTGGAGCTGTAAATCAACACTCAGCATCCATCCAAGAATGAACACGCCAAGGCAGAGTCAAGTTCACAGTCCAGTGACACAAAGGCAGTGTTTGAGTCATAATGACAAACTGATTAACTGCAGAGCCTGTGAGGTCCAGTGGTCCTACTGTACATGCAGTCGCTTTTTCTACATCTCACACAATTCCAAATGTAGAAATATGGCTTAGTCATCAAGCTTTGATTTCCTTCTGAAAACAGCTGATTGTACTGACTGATTTTGTGGAAACAAATGGCAGGACAGACACTCAAAATGTCTGCTTGTCTCTCGCAGCAGTACAAAGGTTATTTTGGACAATTTGGCAACTCATACCCAACGATAGGAGGCTGACATTTTACACTTTTTTAGCTTTTTTTTATAGGATTTGCAAAAAAAAAATTATATCAGTGTGGTAAAAACTGCTCTTCTTGTTTGTCCCTTTTCAGCTAAGCCTTTTAAAAGTCATCAAACTCGGAAGTCTTCAGAAGTCTCATTTAGGAGCACTTGTGAGCAGGTTCATAGGTTGTGTTGATTTATTGTGTCTACCAGCTCAATCACTGAAGCTAAAAGGAATCAAATGAAAATGCTGAAACAATTACAGCAGTCTGTCATCTGATAAGATCTGTCAGGGTCCTCCTGCAAAATGAGATTTAGAGTCACAGCGAAGAGCCATAATGCAGAAGCAGTCAGCAGATGATTAGGTGATATTGCCTTGGGGAATTGTCTGGAATGATCGAACACAGGAGCCTACACTGTAAAAAGTAAAGGCTTTGAGTGGCTTTTAGCAGCTTCTCGGGTCATAAAAATGAGACGTTCAGAGAGTTCCTTTAAAAATTACTTAAAGAAGCTCCATCAATCCTAAGGATACTCACAGAGTTCAAGATGACCTTGGTAAAGCATTAGTTATTCTGGAGATCACACAGGGAACTCCCCAAGTTTCTTGAAGTACCTGAGACATGAAGGGAATGTACAGAACTAACATTATCACTGTGAAGCTAACTGAATTTCAAACCAGTAGCGCACCTTGAGTTGCTGCTTTTTGCTTTCCAGAGAGTATCTGCACCTTAACCAAATTGTATTTACAACCTTGTCCTCCCTAAAGAGACGGTCCTCCCTTGAAAAAAAAACTGAGATATAGATTTTCTGTGTAGCAGGTTCTTACTGTTAGGTGACCATGTGACCAGTAAACCTAGAGTAGTAACCACATGAGGGGTTCAGAATGCTGACATTTTTCTTTGTCATAACAGTATTTACATGCAGCAAATAAATGAAACACTTCCTTCAAAGAATAAATAGGTTAATTAGAAAATAAAATGTTTCTACGGCTCATAATTCACACAGCTAATACACTCCACTAAAATGTACTACAGAGACAAATACACTTTATGACTAAATACACTTTAATTTGCTTTCATATCCCTAAATCCTTTTGTCTCTGGCATGTGCAAACATCAGTCTGCTGATCAATAATGATTAGGTACCCTCCACTCTTCTCACCCTGTCTCTCTCTCTCTGCTACAGTTTGCCAAGTACCTGTCTGACAGATCAACGATGACTGATGACTGAACACATTTCACTCAGGCTGTCTGCCTCCCTCTTTCTCTCATTCTTTCTCTTCGTACACAGACTACTCTTTTAAGCTATATTTACTGTAATTCATATTCAGTTACTAAGTACTAATTACATTTGTTACAGTAACACTCAGGGAGTGCAGAGAACCAGCAGAAACTCCTCTGACATTTGTCGAACTTTACTCCTTATAGTATTGATTATGTGTTCCACTTAGCTTTTTTGTTTTTTTTCTCAGTTGGAGATGCAGATTTGCCTTTGCTTCTGAGGTGTGAACCCCAATGGAAAACTGTGACACTACTGAACCACTTTAGAGACCCTGGAAACCGTGGTTAGCACAGGCTCATGAAGAGTAAACTGGGATATGGTGCACAATTTGTTCACAGAGAAGACTGGGAGAAAGGAGCTGCATGTTCTTGAGTCCTGTTGAAAACACAAATATATGACAGTAGGATTCTTCTCCTGAATAACACATTAGGAAAAAATCTTCAAGAACTAACAAATACATTATTTTTACATGGGGAGGAAACTTATTTTATTAAAATGAAATAAACCTAAAGACGTTAAGTTTCTCCTTCAAATTTCCCTCATCCTCGTCTTTATCACCACAGCTTTATCTCTTCTTCCTCCCCCCGTGCTAGGCAGGAGTTCATCTCCCAACAGCCGACACACAGTGCAGCTGGGCAGCCTGTTAGATGACCAACACTGGCACCACGTCGCAGTGGAGCATCACAGCAATCACCTCAACCTCACTGTGGACAAAAGCACGCTGTGGGTGCAGATCCCACCAAGGTTTACCCACTGGGACCATGACCAGGTGTGTCTGCGTGTCGGTGTGGGATGCACATGGACAGAAGAAAAAGGACATGTGCATTCAGACCTGCTCCTTAAAAAAAATGACATGCTTGTGTTTTCACTGTACAGATGATCGTGGGAGCAGACCAGGACCTTGGCTGTCAGAGGTCAGCTGAATCACACCGAAATTTCCACGGCTGTGTGGAAAACCTTATTTATGGTGAAGTCAATCTGGTAGACCTTGTCAAACAGAAAGACCAGCGGGTTACTGTGAAGGTAAACTGGCTGACAATGTGCTACTGAAAAGTGCATACTACGTGTGCACTGCAGCCATAGTAGACAATGCTTTTGATCGATGTTACAGAGATGTCTCCAGTTGGATTAGTGCTGTATCTCACATCTATCTGACAGTGGTGGAAGTACTTAAGTAAAAGAGGCAATACTGTACCACAGTGTAGAAATCTAGTCCTACATTCAAACTGTCTTCAAATATTAGGATTAAAAGTGCCAAAACTAAAAGTACACATTTCAAAATGCTGAATATTATATTAAAGGATTAAGGGTATTCATGTATTATTGTGTAAGCAGTACACAGTACACAGTACATCTACAGTACATCCAGCACTACCTGGTAACTTCATCTATAAAAACTTTTAAATATAATCTATTTCTTGATTATATTGATAGTTTTATTTACTACTTTGCAGATACAAACTATCAAATAAATGTAGTGAAAGACATCTCAAACATCTAGTCGCTGCACAAGGTACTGAATATTAATTTACTAGTAACCATGGAAACAATACTGCTTGATACTGAACTAATAGATAATAGCTTTAGCACATTATTACTACATAAACATTGTACTTTACCGTATGTATCACTGTCACTGTTGTGGTTTGAAAAATATTCTACATACTCTACGTGTCTGCTGTTGAGCAGCATCACTGTCAAAAGAAACAATGATAATAAAGGAGGTAAAAACTGTGACATTACATAATATACAGCTCTGATCTTACTTTCTGAAATAGGAAAATTATAATGGTTCAAGTGCACTTATTAAAATGTTCAGATGTATGGGAATCGCCTTTACACTTCACCTTTGACTGTGACTGCTCACCATTACATGGCGGTGTCTCTGTGTGTGCATGCATCTGTGTGCTTCTGAATTGTGTCCAGCCAGTGTACGTCACAGCTGAGTCTCCTTTTAGTCTGCATTACTGTATCTTGCTTTAACATCCCCACAAAGAGCTTTTAGATCTGATCAAGTGTCTCTGTGTTGCATGCTCCACTGAAAATAGAAACCCAGTATCCCCAGTAGGGAACCTGGCGTCTAACATGCCCCAGCAGTGGACTCACTAACATGTCTCGTGAGCAGCTGCTCCCGGTCATCGAGTTGCCGTGTTATTTCTCACTCACCCCTCCTCTCATTTTCTCTCTGCCTCTTCATACTTCCTCTGTGACCTTAGAAGGCAGTTTGGTGACATTGGTGCCTTCAGTTTGATCTGCTGGTGCTTATCCTAAGCCTGGCTATTATCATTATGGTAATACTCTCAAGCTCTTTAAGGAGACTCATTGATGAGCTCTCTGTGTATCGGGGTGCCGCCACACAGTCCAGGAAATTAATTCATATTCACGCATTATCATGTTTTCCCTCCTTTGCTGTAGTAATTTCTCTCTCTCTCTCTCTGTATCTTCTTTCCACTCCTCTTCTCCATTTATCTCAGGGCAATGTGACCTTTTCTTGTGCTGAACCTGTTTTTGTTGCCATGACGTTCACCAGCCCCCAGAGCTTCCTCTGGTTGCCAGAGGCAACAGCACTGTCATCTATGGGCATGTCAGTGGGGCTTCATTTTCGAACGTGGAACGAGGCGGGGCTGTTGCTGACCTTTGCTCTCCCAAACCAAGCAGGTGCAGTCTGGCTGTACCTGAGCAAAGCCAGGCTCCATCTACAGATCCACAAGCCTGGCAGAGCACCACTGGAGCTCATCACAGGTCAGTCCGTTCTCTAACCCCCAACTTAATCTTTAATTTCTCCACACAACGTGTTTACATTTCGTGTAAACCTCATTAAGGTCCATATCAGCATTCACAATGTCAAAGCACACATGAAACAAGGAAGGAACTGCCTTGTGCGTTTAGTAGTGATATGTAGTAACTCAACATTAAGAGGCATACCTTTCTGCAGAAAACTGAGCCCTTGGAAAGAAACATATTCATTTACATATTCACAATTAGACAGACCTGAATTTTCAAGAAATAATATACCTGATTTCTTGATGCCAGCCCCAAAATGTCTAAAAAAAAAAAAAAAATTATCTTCAGACCCTTTATTTGTGCAACCCTTCTGTTTGCCACGTATCTATTGTGGCTACTAATAGTTCATCAAGACACTGAATCCTTTCCAGCTCCAGCAGCATTCATTTGTAACTGACTCTGACCTCTGGCATTTGGATTCAGAGCAAATTCCTCTCCCAAGATCAAAACATTATCACATTTGTAGTACTTATCTTAAAGCCTCATCCTCACCCACAACATCCTACAAAACCCTGGTAATTAGTCAACAACCAACGTTCTGTATATTGAGTCTAGTTTTTGACCCAAGAATGTTTAAGAACAACTGTTGTGAATGAATTCAAGGACAAAACTGAAATCAAGAATCAAGAATCAAGACAACTGAAGGTATATTCATGTACTTCCTCCAGGTTCAGCTCTGAATGATGGTCAGTGGCACTCTGTGGAGCTGATCTCCATACGAGGACGTCTGACCATCACAGTGGATGGAGATGAAGGAGGCACTGCTCACGCCAGTCCATCGTTTTTTATTACCGCAGGAGGTCAACTTTTCTTTGGTGGTAAGAAAGGGAGGAACAAATAAATATCACAACTGTAGAGAAAGAAAGTGTTTTGTTGTGTAGTTATAGAGCATATTATCTTGAGATGTTACAATCATGTGTGGTCATTTAGGATTTTTGAACCTCACAGTAATCTGAGACGCTGTTATTCTGACCAGCTCAGTTTGGACGTCAAGATTTGTTCTGTGTGGGTTCATTCACTGACTGATGTTATTTCATCTCCTGTGCAGGATGCCCCACTGAAGGGAGCAGCCAGGAGTGTATGAATCCCTTCAAACATTTCCAGGGCTGCATGCGAGTGCTGACTGTGGACAGCCAACAGGTGGACTTGATCATGGTGCAGCAGAGGCTGCTGGGAAACTACAGTCATGTACAGATCGACATGTGTGGTATCATCGACAGGTCAGATATAAATGCACCATTTGTTTGGTAATATTTATCCAGGGGAGACTGACTAGAGTAAATGGTATGCAAAATTTATTTGTACCTTTGTTTAACCAGCGAGGCTTTGTTTTGTGTGTTACTGGGCACGTGAAGAGAATGCAATAATGTTACTATATCTGAGTTTGTTGTCACTGTTTCTTTGAAAATCCTGTTAGTCTCCCTCTGAAGGCTGTGTGTGTGATTGTGTTTGGAAAAATTCTGGATATTTTGTCTCATATTTTTTGTCAGTGTATACAGAAAATATTGGCAGGTTTGAAAAAGAAGTATTTGGTCAGTTTGCTTTCTGCTTCAACTGTTTCCAGTTGTTGTTTGGAGGTTCTGGGTTCCACTGCTCTCTTCAAGAAAGACTATACAAAAGAAGAAAAACATATAAAAGTGTATGGAAAAAAAATGTTTGCACTATTGTGAGTGAAGCACAGTTTACAGAGTTTCCCCTGAACCCAAGTCGTAAACCCCGGCTTTCTTAATATGGACAAGTAAATTAAAAATGCTTCAACAAAAGAAGCTTTTGGTGCATTCTTAACTTCATTTGTGCATCTGCTTACAATTGGCTTGAATAACAGCAGTGGTGTGAGGAGAGCAGACTGTCATGGAGGGGGCTAGAAAAGCAGAAAGACATGTCCTCTCCCATTTTCACTTGATTTGTCAGACAATGTGTAAAATCTTAGTTAATGCGCCTTTAAAATTCTGCTGACCCATCACAGATATCGTACACAGAAAAATCCATTCCCACCACTGATGGTAAGTGTCAGTCAGTGGTGATGTTAGCGACAGAATCGATATTCTTAACGTTTGGGTGTCTTTAAATACCAGAGAACCTATGGCCTCTAATATGTCCCTTTTTTCTTTCTGTACTGTGGAAATGTCAAGTCGAGCTCCACTGTGTCTGTTTAATGTTACGTGTGAGCAATAACACATTGCTCCCAGAACATAACATTAGACCTTTTCCAAATCATTAGTGCCCCCTAGTAAATGGCATACATATTCCACATGCATATCCACCTAGCAGCTTTTCTTTCAATAAAATGTCACATTGAAAAATTGATTTACATTTCTCCAACCTGCCAAGTACCCTCCTGAAACACAGGCTTGACTGATCATGTGTATTCTGAATTTATCAGTGGCTCATGACAAACATGATATGCAAGATAAGCATGTTTGTTAATAATTAAGGCAAAAACAAACTACTGGACCTTCTAATGAATGAACTAGAGACATAAATAAAATGCTGCACCTGCCTCTATCCCGACTTGTAGGTGAAAGGAAAGCAGATTTGTTGCTGCTAAAAACAAACATTTTACCATCTGACAGCCTGCTGAGTAAGGCTTTTTCTGTGAGTGAATTTTTAGACTAAAAGATTAAAAATACATGTTCCTCTCTTTCTCTTTTCATCTCTCCATAGTCACAACTTGCTGACCCCATTTCCTCACCTAAATACAGTATGTTTACCCAGACAGTGCTGAGCTCCATTCATTCTCACCTTCATCTCCTTTTAGTGATTTCATGCTCCTCCCTCTTTTTCACTCCTCCCTCAATCTTAATTCCCCTTCCTGGATTTATCTCTCCCATTATTTTTCCTCTCATTTTTTTCTCCCCCTCCTCATCTCCTCCTTGGCTTGCTCATTACACTGAGCTGGCAGTGAAAGGGAACAGTCTGAGTCAACAGCAGCAGCATGAATGTTTTTAACTGCACGTACAGTAGTTATGATTACCCAGTTCAGTTAAAGGCTGTTTACTTTGATTCTTGTCTACAAATTCTGGGATAAAACCAACTATGAAAGAAAACCCTGATATCACTTTTGCCTTTCGGTCATGGAGTAAAAATTAGTAAAACAGATGATAAGCTTTCATTAAAGCGCTGAATGAGACAGTACAGAGCCAGAAAAGGCAGCAGTTGGATGTTGAATGTGTTTAGGTTGGAGTAGTGGATTAACAAATCTGTTTACTTTTATCTTTAATCACCCCAGCTAAATCAGAAAACCTTTAGTGGGAGTTTTTGGTATTTTATCATCAGGGAAACTAACTCTAGAACTAATCTGAACCATAAGTTAAACGTTACTTTACCTTCATGATGATGGTGATGATGATTTGTGGTATTTTCACCTGAATCTTTTGTCTTTGTTTTTGTGTAAAACCTGCACCCTTTGCTTTGGAGTTATTGTTTGTAAAAGCCCAGGGTATATTGGGCTTCAAGGGTTAGTCAAAATACCTTGAGAATATCCCAAGAGGATGAACTTTCTGTTTTAAACTACACTGAATAACCCATGCATTGTGAGAAGTGCCCTTTCTGTTGTGGAGTATAGCTCTACAACATGAGGGTGAAGGGTTACAGGGAGTGCTGGCATCAAGTCCTTTCTGTCTCTCTTTCCCAGGTGTTCTCCCAGTCACTGTGAACATGGAGGCGTCTGCACTCAGTCATGGAGCACCTTCCACTGTAACTGCTCCAGCACTGGCTACACGGGTGCCACCTGTCACAGCTGTAAGGGCCTGACTCAGTAATGAGATAAACGTAAACATAAACGGCCACTTTTAACTTGAGGTTGCTTCAGACATTGTGGCAGGTCTGGTTGAGATCAAGCCTCTTTTCTGCAATCATTATTATGTGAGTGCTGAGAAGTCTCAGTCCAAAGGAAACAAGGCAACACAGGGATTTAGAGGAGTAGGAACATGAAGATGATGGCGGTCAATGAAAGGAGCTAGAAAGGTTAAAATTTTAGTGCTAACATTTAGAGCACTTCATGGTCAGGCTCCTCAGTATATTGCTGATCTATTGACCCCATACTTTCCAAAGCGTGTTCTCCGTTCCTCAAGTCAGGCCACCTTGATGGTCCCCAAAACCGGAAGACTGGGGGGACCTGTTGTTTCAGGTTGTGGCTCCTAGACTGTGGAATGTGTTGCCCCTGTCTTTACGCATGGCCGAATCTGTCGATGGTTTTAAGAAGCAGTTGAAGACACACTTTTTTAGACAGGCCTTTAGTTGATTTTTATTTTTGGTTTTAAATATGTTTATGCTTGTTATTTTATTTTTAGGTTTCTGTTATATTGTTATTTTGTTTGTTCTACTTTTGTATCTGTTGACCTTGTGAAGCACTTTGTGATTTTATCTATGAAAGGTGCTATATAAATAAAGCTTACTTACTTACTTCCTTCCTACTTACTTTAGAGAAAGACACTAGTTCTTTGGAGCTTCCAACAAAACAGCAAGCAGTGAAGGTGCTCTGAGCTTTTTTTATGCTACCTCCTTTAGCCATTCACACTCCTTGATTTTGATAAAGAATAAAAAAAGATAAGCCTTCTAGCCTGTGGGAAGTCCAGGAGACAGTGATGATGATCTCTCTCTCTCTCCTCAGCAATATACAAACAGTCCTGTGAAGCGTACAAGCACAAAGGCAACACGTCGGGCTATTATTACATCGATGTGGATGGCAGCGGACCCATCAGACCACAGCTAATATACTGCAACATGACAGGTAGCTGACACACATCAAAGTAAGCCATGCAAACACAGTCATGCAGAGTAATTCCCCCAACCCCCCACCCCTCCCCCAGCCTGACACATACACACACAAACACTTTTATCCTGCCTCTCTTTTCCTTCTGACTAAGACATCTTAAAGGTGAATTGCCCATATACAATCCAATAGAAATGATCGTTTTCTCGTTCCTTCTGTCTCGCCCTCACCACCAGAGGACAAGACATGGATGGTGATCCAGCACAACAACACAGAGCTGACCAGAGTTCGACCGTCACCAGGAAAGAATCAGCATTCAGCTCACTTTGAATACACATCTGAAGAAGAGCAGCTGGTGGCCATCATCAGCCAGTCAGCGCACTGCGAACAGGAACTAACCTACCACTGCAGGAAGTCCCGTCTTCTGCACACACCAGGTAAGCTGCTGACACTCTGTGACACCACCTGGATTCCAGCTGTTAATTATTAATGTGAGTGTTAAGATCCAGATTAGACACTTAGGTTTATGGTTGAATCTGGAGAAGGCCAGTTGGTAAACGAATACGAGTTCCTCACAAGTGTCTGTGTTTCAGATGGCTCTCCAGTCAGCTGGTGGGCTGGAGGTCCAGGTGTAGGACAGGTGTATACTCACTGGGGTGGGGCTCCGCCAGGCAGCCAGCAGTGTGCCTGCAGCCTGCAGGAGAACTGTGTGGACCCCAAACACCCCTGCAACTGTGACGCTGATCAAACTGAATGGTACTGTTCATTTATTGTTCTCTACAAGATTGAGTCATACCACAGGTTACTACATTAAATCTAAATGGTCTGGTGGGCATTTTGTTTTCACTTTGTTGCTGGTGGTAATGGAGGTGCTGGATTTTACTTTTTCACTCTGTTTATTTCCCTTTTCCTTCCTGTTTTCTTCCTCTCCTACCCTCTTCTTTGTTGTTAACTGGAACTTCAACTATATGTAATGTTTCATCCTATTAATCTGCTGTTTTGCTCTTCTATGTGGGTGGTGGCAAAATGTGTGTAATGAAGTTCCACTATAAATTGAGAGTTGACATCTGTGGCTTTCTTTTCTTTCACATTCTTATTTTGTCTGCCTTTGTAATTCCTCTGTGAGGAGCAAGGATGTATTTGAGGTTTGATGAGGAGGAGCCACAAACAACACCAAGGACTGTCAGACTTATTCATGGGGAGAGAAATGGTCTGTCAGGGGAGGAGGACTGAGTTAGATACACATCACAGGAAGAGGGAGCACAGTGTAGTCTGAGCACAACTGACATGAAGCCTCTGATGTCAGGTCTACTTGGCACAACCTGCCTCTCTTCCACCTTTCTCTTCCTTCCTTTCTTTCAGCTCTCTCGACCTGTGGGCTCTGCACCTCAGCTGTGTTGCATTCGGTAATTAGCGACTCATTTGTCTGTGCGCACAGTTGAGGTGCATCCCAATGATTACCTTCCTCCTTATTTATACCTCTGGCAGACGCTCCCTCGTCGCCGGAGCATTAACTTTTGGCCTCCCTACACTGGTTACCTGTCCATTTTTGGGTCTATTACAAAATTTTACTCTCAGTTTTTAAATCCCTTCATGGCTCTGCACCATCCTACTTAACTGATTTGCTTCATTGGCATACACCCACACGCTCTCTGAGGTCAGCAAATCAGTTTCTCTTGAGTGTCCCAAGAACGAAGCGTAAGCTTAGAGGCGATCGAGCCTTCGCAGTTGCTGGTCCTAAACTCTGGAATGATTTACCACTGTCCATTAGACAAGCCTCTACCCTGTCTGTTTTTAAGTCTCTTTTAAAAACTCATTTATTTTCCCTGGCATTTTGATATTTTTGTGTTGATTTTAGTCATTTGATTGATTATATTTTATATTGTTGTTTGTGGTTTATAATTTATATTGTTTTATTGCAATGTACAGCACTTTGGTCCACTTTGGTTGTTTTTAGTGCTTTATAAATAAAGTTGGTATGGTATGGTATGGTTGTTCATTTTCTTTTTGTTAAATTTCTTTCAATTCTGCTTCTTGTTCTTTCCCTTCATCCTTTTTCCACTGTGCAGGGCTAAGGACTCAGGCCTGTTAACCCATAAGGAGACCCTCCCTGTTAGGTCTCTGGTGCTGGGTGACATTCACAGGCCTGGCTCAGAAAGCGCCTACAGGGTAGGACCTCTTCGTTGCCATGGAGACAGTAAGTGTCATCCCGAACCCTCGGTGTCGCCTTGTGCACATTTTTTTTTTCAAACTACTGCTTGTGTCTCATGTTTGAGGACAATACATCAGCAATATTTGAATGAATTGTAATGTTGTATTAGCTGAATCGAAAACTTGTAGGTTTCAATTTATTTTTGCAGAAAATGTTTGGAATGCTGCATTTTTTGACAAGGAGACATCATATCTCCACTTTCCCACATTTCACGGAGAGCTGAGCTCAGACATCTCGTTCCTCTTCAAAACCACTTTGTCCTCTGGTGTCTTCCTGGAAAACCTGGGCATCAAAGACTTCATTCGGATTGAACTCAGATGTAAGTAAACATTTCAGGTTAGATGTCGAATTCAGACTGTGAGCACAACCTGAGCAGGAAGCATCATCCTGAGACTTTAGGTTGGTTCTGGATTTAACTCAGTCACAGTCCTGCCTGGAATTCCACCTCAGTCTGTCTATTTATTCCATTTATTTTTTTCCATCCATCCATTGTCTATACCATTTATCCTGTCAAGAGTTGTGCAGAGGGGTGGGGGTGGAGCCAATCACAGCCGACAATGGGCGCTGTTTAGTTTTTCCTCCTCTGGGAAATAACTGCAGTGTCATTGTTCAAGCCTGCTGCAGCATATTTCCTTTATAACCAGAGTTTATGGTTCTCTGGTAGTGTGCTGGTATTGAAATATCGCTGCACTGTAACATTATATGGGAGTTCAAATAGTGTGGGCTGCTGAAGCTGTGCTTTATGACAACAAATCTTAGTAAAGAAAACTAACCATCCATTGTAGCTGGAAGCAGAAGTACAGATAACTAACTTTTAAATTAAACCACATAATATAGCCACACAAGAAAACTAGGATATGCAGCACAAGAAACCAGGCTGCAGCTGGACCCCGTGAATTAGCAGTGGACAGTATACAGTAGCAGTATGAAGCTGCAGCTCCATGGCCTCTACCTTCCCAGGTAAACACAGAAACATTGCAACCAACCTAATCTGCAGCAGAAATTTAACCATGTGGATTAAGAAATTAGGTTCCTCCAAGAAACCAGCACTTGAAGCATTAAAACACAGTGAATGTAGTCAGTCATATATCAAAGTTGTACTGTAGCAGGTTGTCACAACTAAAGTGATATAGATGTCCAGGTGTCAATGTAACTTGTTGCTATGACAACTGCTTTTTCGTGTGACATCCTTTAGAGCTGTTCAACGTAAGCTTATGTTTGCATCCCTTTAGCGATACCTTACCTTAGTGTGAATGTGTTTTCTTATCGAAGTTCCAGTAGAGCTCATGTGTCAACACGTCAGCTGGCTCTGCACTCTCGCTGCGAGGATCACTTCATCTTCTTCTCTTCACAGATGGTAAAACTCTCACAGGGAATAAAGGATTCAGAGAGAGCCTGGTCTTTGGTGATAGGGAAACAAATGAAAAAGAAGAGAGAATTTATGAAGTTAAAAGGCTCGTTGTTCAGCATGTGTCCAGCAGGGCAATTTGTGTCATGCAAATAGGGCAACACTGTAGGGATAAGTTATGACTTGGCTAAAAGGTACCGTAGGTTGCACTCCAGTGGTTTTCTTTTTTTTTTCTTTGTTTGGGAAATGAATACTGTAGGTTTTACTTCGCAATATACACTCACTGCCCATTTTATTAGGTACACCTGTACAATTGTATGCACATCAATGAAACACTTCCACCTTAATCTGTGTTTATGAAGCTCAGAATGTTTCTGTTTTTGGTGAAACTAAAACAGGTACAACAGTTAAATCCAGCACTCTGAAAAGTGGGTCAGGATGTTGTGCATAATGTATTTAGGCCTGGGCACACCTTTGTGTGCGTGTGTGTGTGTGTGGGAAAGAGAGCACTGTCAAACAGCTGGCCTGTATCCTGGTGGAACAAGTCAAGAACAGGCTGTGACGAAGACGAGATGAATTGGTGCACAGAAGGTTGAAGATTCTGTTGACTATTTCTTGATTTTCTGTCCCTAATGCAGCCTCCACTGAGGTCCTGTTCTCCTTTGACGTGGGTAATGGTCCACTGGAGGTTCGTATGAAGGTTCGCTTCCCACTCAATGACAATAGGTGGCATCATGTTCGAGCCGAGCGGAACGTTAAAGAGGCATCACTTCACCTGGATGAGTTCCCTGCTGCGACACAGGAGGCTCCTGCTGACGGGCACATCCACCTACAGCTGAACAGCCAGTTATTTATAGGTGTGTCTGTGTTGTGAGGACATTCTGACATACACTGGAATGATCAACCAAGGAATGATCAAATAGGGGAAATGGGATTCACCCCTTGTCGCCTCTGTGTGTTGCTTTTAAAGGCTGTCATACTTTTTCCTCTTTGTATTCCTCAAAATGCTCTGTTATACTTTGCTCTGCCTTCTCACCTTTTGTCTTTTAGTCACTTTGTTCCTCTCTCTTTTTCACACAGCCACACCACATACAAGCTGACTTCATACTGCAGTGCTGTGTCTGGTTATTGATCCATGATAAGATTGACAGATTTAACTGAGTTCAATCAGGCTATAACAGTTCATGTTCCTAAACCTCAGCAATGTAAGATATACAATCTGAGTTTGTGGAAGTAAAGTCTGTATATACACCTCAAAGACTGGGAGAAAATCTCCACAGAAAAAACCTGGATGACGCAGCCGAAGGTTGCATTTGTAGCAGTCAGCTTCCTTGTAGTAACCTTGGTACAGTGTTTGAGCCCAGTTCATTAGTTAGGGTGTTGATTTCCTGACAGCTCCTGATGAAACTCCAGGCCCTGATATGAACCTCATCAGCACCACAGTCCTGGAAAGCTCTTTATCTCATCATAACAGTCTTGAGGTTGCCAGATTGGCACTCTGAGACAATTCTAGTGTTGCAGAGCCTGAACTCTGAGGACAGTTGGAGGTTGTAATGGTAGATGTCAGAAAACAATGACTTTTGGAGTTTAAATTCTGCTGGTGATGGGGAAAAATGTTTGCCTATCACAGTCAGTCTGCCAGGCAGGACAAACAGGCGGTTAGAGAGACTGACAGCTCACCAAGTTTCCAGATATCACCAATCAGCATGGCGCTCAACTGGCAGACAGACTGCCAGTAAAACGTCAAGTACTTGAATTTTTCACCTGCCAGTTTGTGTTTGACTTTTTCATCATTTTAATCAATTCGGTATGAGGGTGGTGAAATGTCATTATTTCTAGAGGTTCAGGCTATGTTGGGCCATTAGTAATAAAATCATGTCATTATTTCTAGAGGTTCAGGCTAGGTTGGGCCATTAGTAATAAGAAATCAGTGCCACTGCCTGATTTGCACTGAATTTATTTCTGATTAGTTATGTCACTGTTTTGAGGTATAGTGCTGCACACTTTTCAAATAAATGAACACTTTTATGCTGCATTATGTAACAGCAGTAGAATGGAAGTAATGTTAACTTGTTCTTCACTTGATCAAAAAACTACAGAATAGACCAAACTGGGAATTATACAGCATGTGTAGCCTACACATAGGGATAAAGAGAAGGAATAGAAGAGCAGAACAGGTGTTTAGGTTTTTCTCCTTTGTGTGTCTTCAGGAGGCACAGCTTCCAGACAGAAGGGATTTCGTGGTTGTATTCGCTCTTTGCAGCTGAACGGTATTACCCTGGACCTGGAAGAGAGAGCCAAGATCACCCCTGGAGTTCAGGCAGGATGTCCAGGCCACTGCAGCAGCTACGGCTCCCTCTGCCAGAACCTGGGACGCTGCGTGGAGAGATCCAACAGCTTTTCCTGTGACTGTGGCCTCTCCGCTTACACAGGCGCCTTCTGCGACAGAGGTACGAAGAGTCACCAATCTCCCAGCAGCACCTGGGACCATCACAGAGAAGGGCTGCAGAATTAGCTCTGTGCAGATAAGGATTACATAACAAAACGATGGCTGAAGAAACAGCCCACCTGAACAGATTAGTCCAGTGTGGTCAATTCAGCAACATTCTGATAGAGCAGATTTACCTTCAGCCATCATTGTGTAGTCTACTGCAAACCCATATTAACTGTAACTGTCTGACAACTCTTCATCATCTTGTTCCAACTCCCCATTTAAAGCATTATGATCTTAGTTATAGCATTTATAGAGTTACATTTTTATATCCAGGGCTCCATGTTTTTCTAGATGTGTTGTGCATCATTTTACAAACATTACCCAAAAATTTCCCCTGACAAATTTGATATCTTGAAATGCTGGGATTCCCACTACAATTTAAAATAAAGTTATGCGAGTTAAAAGCAGGTGTGCCAGCGCTGGCAAGCTCACTGAAAGGGTTAGTTAAGATTTAGATGACATTGTGATCTGCCTAATAAGAGGAAAGGAGAAAAATGATCAGGCCCAGTTAGTGCAGAACTGAAAAATGCTGAAAGATTTAGTCACCGGCTTTTTAGCAGCAGTGGCCTAAAAGCTGATGACCTCCAACATGAATATACAGCATGTAACAGAGCAGCACCTGAAGGTCTATAAATAAAACGCACACACGGAGATATAAATTAAGGCCATACACACTGAAGGAGGTCACAAATACACCACTGTGTACTCAGGACATCGGGTCGTATTATACACAGCAGCTAGAGAAAATATTTATAAAGTATGTGGTTGGATGGAAAGGTCCTGATTTTTCTAATAGTTTCCATCAGTTTGACCTTTATCTTCTATGTCTGTCGATCACCTGAATCTGTTTTAAAACTATCCCAATTCATACTTAATTTTTTTCCCCCATCACTGAAGAAAAAAGCTAAAGCATCTGCACAAAGACTGATGTACTGTACAGTAAAAAGATTTCTCCACTTTCCCAAAAAGGGTTTGTTGTACACTGACCCTCGTTGGGCCTCTTAGCTGAAGCATCGCCTAAGACTGCACACCTAGACTTTTTGTTATTTAGGTTATCACAGGAACACTGTCAGCAAAGTAATGCAGCCCCCAAAGGTTTTCAGTAATTACAAGCCCAGCAGTGTTGTGTCTCAGAAAACCATAGGTTCTTCTGCAACAGAATTCACTACTCTAATGCACTACTACTGTATGTTATCATTACCAGCCAGTATTCCTGTTGTTCTTTTCACCTGTCAGCTACTTTCCTGTGACTGTCTTACCACCTGCTCACTAAGGTGTCATTAGTGCCATTAAGGCCCTGTATATAGAGTATAAGAATCACTCATATGGTCCCACTGTGAGATTAGTCAGATGCACAGTAAAGATGTACTCATGGAAATTTAAATGCAAATCATACTGTCACGTTGTCTCTGGGAAACAGTGTTAATGTGGTTAAATAAGTGCATGGACAGGATAAATTATCAGGTATTTATGTACCAGGGACAGGTAGCTGGAAACCAAACTTTTACTTTGCTCAAACTCAACTTTTGACAGCTAAAGTTCAACACAGCTTCCTGCTGTACCACTACAAATGACCCAATCTCCCTCCCTGCAGAGGTTTCAGCCAGCTTCAGGTCAGGAACATCTGTCAGCTACACATTCAAAGAGCAGGTGGTGGATGATCTGAACAGAAGCAGCAGTGCCCTGCCCTCCCCTTTATATACTGACATCACCCTGAGAGCAGAAAACATCTCGCTGAGCTTCAGGACCAGCCAGAGTCCCGCTCTGCTCCTGTACATCAGCTCCTCCCACAGAGAGTACCTGGCTCTGCTGCTCAACAAGCATGGTGAGCACTCAGATCCTCAGAGTGACGTTATATTTCATCGTGGCTGTTTGAATCATCCATAACTTTCTCATACATCTCCTCTGACTTCTTTCTCTTCTCTTTCTGTACATTTATTAGTCCTTTCATCCGTCCTTGTAATGGCATTATTTGTCCCTTGTGCTGTGTTTGTTCTGTGTTTGAGTCACACGTTGACACACCAGTGTGTTTTGCTGTTCTGTGTTTACAGACAAACTGGAGGTGAGGTACAGACTGGACAGCAGCAAAGAGGCAGAGATCCTGAAGAGTAAAGTGGGGAACCTGGCCAACAGACAGATGCATTCTGTTTCCATCAGCAGACGGGCGGACGCTGTCTCTGTGCAGGTAACACACAAACTGTGTTCTCCTCCATCCTCCTGGTGTTCTCAGCAGCCACTTCAGCAACCAGAGGGACAAGCAAGAAGAGGACATCAGGGACACACTCACAGATAATAAAGTCTGTGCAGCTCAGAAGCATCCCTCACAGCACTTTTTCCTCTTACAATATATTCAAGATACAGTAGCTGGCTCTGTTAGGTTCCCTATAGGATAAAGTACAGCCTTGAGGCACCAGATTCAAAGACATAATCTTTGCTTAGTCATAAGTTATGCTTCCTGTGCTGATGATATACGGCTGTTCCTCCAACTCTGTTTGTACCCAAATCACAAATGAAACTCTCATTCACTGTGTTCATGACTTCAGAAATCAGATATCAAAGCTCAGGACAGTGAAACAACTCGCTGTCATCTTAGATCCTGACAGTATGATAGACAGAGCTTTTATGGATCCAAGGATTTTGCATCTATTTGCTTTGTGTCATTGTTTTCAGATTCAGATAAACATGTACTTGTAGTTGTGCAATCATGATGAACACAGAAGCCTTTTATCTGCTAAAACATGTAGTTCTCTACAAATTACCCTCATTTTCACTGGTGTAATCAGTGTGTTTTGATGTGAAACCTTTCATTTTCTTTCAGATTGACCAGAACACCAAAGAGGACTTTAACCTCACATCTGATGTGGAATTCAATGTCATCAGGTCCCTGGTTCTTGGCAGAGTGCGCAGTAAGCGAGACAGACACACAAACCCAGACAGTCTTTGAAGCCACAGAGCACTCAGACTCATTTCAGAAATGTTCCTCCTCATCAGACAATGAAGCTTTTGAAACATTCACCATGGTGTCTGAAAAAGCTCCGGTGAAGGATTTAGCAAACAAAGAACAAACTGAGAAATAAATACAGATGCAGGAGCCGCCAACACTAAGATGGGACTATTCAAAACATAAGTTGAGAGCTGGCAGCTTAGACGTGAGAGAGGTGAATGTTACTAGATCAGTTTTTAAAAGTCCAGCTGTTAACACAAGCAATGCACCAGTACCATGTCCCTAAGATAATAACTAAAAAATAAAACCTGCTGTTTGTTATGATGGAGAAAATAACCTAATCTGATAATGCATCTTAATAACACATCTTCATGAAGCTACTTATTTTGTCAATATAAAATTCTCAATGTGTGGAATTTAGTGAAGCACTGGTATCTGTAGAAGATTTCATGGTAACCTATCTGGTAATTGTTGAGATATTGTAAACGGTGGGACAAAGCAACAGACCAACACGGCCATTCAGAGCCACAAAAGATGTTTATGCTGCGATTGTGCGTCTGGCTTCTATTGATTTAGCTTTAGCTTCACGCTCCAGTGTGGCTTTCAGAAGAATCCCTGTTGTGATTCTTTTGTTACAGGTGTTGGAGTCCACACTGTGGCAAACAAAACACAGTGCTACTACTTAGCAGTCAGTGCAGGATTTCATTCTGTATAAAATAAAAGTGCCTAAGTTGCAAGTGGAGACAACGGGCTTACCGTACAGTCACAGCGTACAACCACAACATTACTGGTAACTGCCAGCTCAGCATGAAGGCGTTGTCTTTGTGGTTTGTGCTGGTGTTTGTATGTGGTGTGTGCACAGATAGGGCGCTCATACTGCTAGATGTATAAAAGCCATAGCACCTTGCTGTCTTGGGGTGTTATGAGTGCTTCGATTTCAGCTCATGCTTGTTGCATCATCATTGTACTAATAATGTGGAACCTCCTAAGTATGACGAGTACTTTACAGAGTGCATCGTTCTGGAAAACTGTACAATTTATAGTGCTTTCATACTGTACTTCCACTGAGGTTCCCCTCTGTACTGACCAAGTATGGACTAAAACACACCTCAGGTTGCTCTGGTAAAATGTCTATAGACTGTTAGGAGGAGAAATGTCAGATACCGATGATGAAATGAAATCCAGCTAAACCAGAGAGTCAGCCAGAACAATTCATCTGTTCTCAGTCTGAAAGCCTGTTTTACCCAAATGCCTGTCTTCTTGTTTTCTTTCTGCTGAGCCTGTTAGACAGATTACACAGGTCACAGGAACATACAATAGCACCACTGTAATTTACCTTGTCCTGACCTGATTAAGTTCCTTTTGAATGGTGCCTTCAGAGACAGACTGAGAAGTAGGTTGTTAATAAGATGAGAGACTAGCCTGACCCACTGCAAACCCATGATATAGAGAGATGATTTCAAACACTGATATACCTGTAGGCCAGGGTTTGGGGGTAAAATCAGTATAAAATGTGATGTCCACTGAAAGTGTGTGATTGTTTCTCCATCAAACATCTGCAGATTTTTAATCCTTCTAATAAACATCAAGCAGTACTCTGTTTATTTCTCTTCCTCTCCAGATTCTGGTGAGATGGATCCAGAGCTGGCTCGGCTCGCCTCTCTGGGTTTCACAGGCTGCCTGTCTGCTGTCCTCTTTAACTCCATCAGCCCTCTGAAAGCTGCCCTGCTCCACCCAGACACCAGCCCTGTCATCGTCACTGGCCCGCTGCTCCAGTCCACCTGTGGCTCCACCTCAGTTAATCCCTATGCAGCAGAAACCACACACCACCTCTCAGGTCACAATCCAAAAACTTTTCTTTATTTCCACTGTCACCCACCTTAGGCCTCATTACACTAATGATTTCAAGTGTCTCACATCTGTAAAAACTCCAGATGTGATTTGACAAACATTGCCACAGGTACAGTTTATGTCTCCATTCTCCAGATCACATTATTTATTTATATTATTTATTAAAAAAAGGTTTATGGGGGATATGTTTGCTGGTCTGAAGTCTTTCTCAGCTGTGGTGGGTGGAGCTTGTTCCACTGGGGTTCAAATTTCATCAGAAGTTTGGATTTCATTAGAAGTAAAGCAGCAAACCCAAACTGAGTCCTAATCAGAGAGTTACTCCAGAAACTTCTGTGTAAACTTAGAGACACCAGAGGCCCATAATGAAGATGTAATCCTACCGTTAGTGCACCCACTTTCTCAAAGGGCTCAAATTAATAAATATTATTCCGGATATTGTAGGCGGTACTGTCCAACTATCTGTGTGGGTGCTGCTGCTTAGACTTCATGATGGGAAGTTTGGGTTATGACATTGGGTTAACAGCCAGTAGAGGAAGCAATTAATTCAGACCAGGGAGGAGAGTTTCCTTGGCTATATCTTTCCCCTGTGGTCACTCATACAGATAACAGCTAGATGCTGTGGCATCCAGTATGCCTGGTCTGCTCTGACTGATGGTACGACTGTAGCGTGTATGATTCCTGTTTCCCTCTGTCTTTATTTTTCATGTTATAACCTCCTTGCTCTTCTTTTTCTTTTTTCTCATCACTCTTTTTATTCCCCTGTGTCCCTTCTTCCACTCATGTCCTTGTTTTCTCCCCACACTGTTGTTGTCACTGTTTATCCTACCTGTTTGTTGCATCTCTCTGTGCCGCAGGCCAGTCTGGTTCAGTGGGAACAGGTCAGCCTTTAGTCAACGCCATCAGGATTGAGTCAGCTCTGATTGGAGGTACTGCAACAGCAACCTGATTCACTGTCACACCATTAACGTCACCATCAATCAGAAGCCAGAAATGGTCTGTAAAGCAAGAATGATGTGATGTATAAGAGCTCACTGAAGACACAGTTTGAAGTATGAGCTCCAACCAAATTCACATTATTTCTTTTCTACACATCAGTGCTGACAAACTGATGTTAACAACAGAACAGCATTTCTGTGTAGAAGAAAGCAACGAGTTGTCTCTCAAACAGCTTGACTGTGTCTGAGTACACAAAAGAAAGCACAACTAATTGCAAAGGATTTTATACTCCAGGTACAATGATGGACCTTCTTTTATTGCTACTGTAACATCAGTGCATAGGCCGTCTAATAGCAGAAACTGCCCAGGGAGCCTGGCGAAAATGAGCAGACTGCACCATTAACCATAGAGTAAATGCAATTTTAATGTCTTCTTGAAGCCTGTTGAGACCAGTTGCTTTTTAGATAGGAATTTTATTTTATTATGTTTCATCTACAGTTTGGTTCTTAAGTTCTAATCAGTCTCATTTGAAACAAGTCTTCTAAGGGCACGGAGCACTGTGCACTGCTACCTGCATGCTAAAATAGCCATACATTATAAATGTGCTATAATGTGAGTGTATGAAACACAGCTACAGGAAGTGCTCAGATTTAACCAGTCAGCCAGCTGTGTCACTACAGCTCAATATTCAAAATGCACAAAATTTCTTGTTTGAAAAGTTCAAACCTTTTAAAACAGAATAACAAAAAAATGCCAACAACTGGGCTCCATAGCAATAAGGTGGCCGTCTCAAAATGTAGCTCCATTAATTTGCTAATGTTTATATTTCTTCACTGTGAAGAAAGTCTTCTTTCTGTAGATCTAAACAAGAAAATTAATTAATACAAAACTGGAAAACAATACATGAAAGACTCCAATGAAAGGTCAGTACTTTTCCACTGATAAAGTGAAGTCATGGTCTTTGTTTAACTGATCCACTCTTGCTCTTTAACACGATGGAATATGGTTCATATTTTCAGCTAAGCCGTTGTAACTTTTGCCATTTCTTTGCCCTGCAGGTGTGATAGCGCTGGTGATCTTTGTGATCGTGTCTGCGTTAGCCATAATGGCCCGAGTCCTCTACAGGAGGAAAGGATCATGTCAGAGCCAGGAAGTAAAACCAGTGAAACCTGAAGATGGCCCGGAGCTGCCGTTCAACAGCCGGAATGGCTCGCGCAACGGTCCGAGTGACAGCCAGAAGGAATATTTTATTTAGGTGGAGCCTCCCGTGCTGGAGCTGCGAGATGGACAGAGACAGAGATGCCTTGTCAAGCCTCAGTGCTTTACACTACAAACTGAGCCTGTGCAGTGGCTCAACAAACAGAACTATACACACGTTTTCTGTCTTCTTTTGTTTTGTTTTGTTTTTACCTCGGTGGTTGTATTTTTGTAAAGATTGTATATAAATGAACAAAGTGTTGAATTTAGTACCGTCAGTAGATCAACTGTAAATATCTAATGATGTAAATCTTGAAATTGTGACTTTTTTCTGTCATACTGAGCTGTTTAAAATGTTAAGCACTGTGTTTTCATGGAGGTGGGATGAAAACTTAAATCAGCGTTGTCGGTTCTGGGGTGATATAAATGCATTTTCTGACATCACACACAGCTGTTTGCTGCTTTGAGTAAGTGAGTTCTTAGGTCAGATGGGTGAGTGGATTCAATTTCCAGGGTGTTTTCTTTCTTTCTTTCTTTTTTAACTTTGTCCATCTACTGTCAGGCCTTTTCCGCTGTAGGAACCTGCCGACCCATTAAGGTTCTGCTTTTGTTTTCTCTGCCTGGTTTTGAGAAGAGTTTACAGCATCCCTCAGGACATACCTGTAGTACAAAATCAAGTTCTCTGCAGTTTGTGTTCTGCTTGTTCAGAGCTGTTTGATAAACTGCTCATACAGCCTCCGTTACTGGCAGATTTTGTTGCATGTGTGATTAATGAACTTTGAGAGCCTTCACTCAGCTGTGTGTGTGAGGAGCACAGCCCAGCTCTCACATAAACACAGGCTGACACGGGGGAAAATGCAGTGAGAAAGCAATGTGGGCCACATCGAGCCTTCGAATTCCAACAGATTACAGGTTGACTCGTAGAGTTCCCACGGTGAAAAACACTTTATATGTACTGCAGGAAAGCAAAATGTATTTAGAGAATGTGTTTTATTTATCATACTTCTTTTTCATTACAGCTTGAAGCAAAAGTTAACGTATTTATTTCCCTTTTTATTCATTAGTTTGATTTCTTTTATGTAGCTTTCCTCCCCCCAGCTCTTTGTGTAGTTTGTAGGCTAAAGCCTTCAGAACAGTCCCCCCAAGCAGCTTTTAGATGACAAACCTGTGGTCTAAAATTTGAGAAATTAAATCATAAATGTCTCACTAATAATAGAAGAGCACTTTACCACTCCACCGCACAAACATGCAGTGAGCCCTGCAGGATGTGGATGTTATGATAAATCACTGAACATAAAATCCAGTAATGAAATCAACTTCAAAATGATGGTACTGTAGGTTGTAATAAAAGCCACAGAGTGAAGACACTGGGGCAGCTCTACAGAGTGTGGACTGTTTGCTGAATGTCCCGGTACATTGTTTGAGGAGTCGGTTTCTGGTTTTGGCTGACAGAAGTTTGGTTTCTCTCCTTACAGCACATCACTTCTGAGCAGCACAATCATGTTTATAGTACTAGAAGGTTTCTGCAGTGCCAGTGAGTCTGAGTGACCTGCTGTTAGATTTTAATTTGTATAGATATTTTAGTAGCAACATTCTGTTCAGTGAAAATAAAAAAATTGATCTTTTATCTGAATTGGGTTTATCTTACATTTTAGCTAAGCAATCTTGCATATTTTTATTACATTATTACATTTTTGTTATTCTATCATTGACTTCAGTGACATTCACTGTAAGAGCAGACCCTGTGAAATGGTACAGAGTTAAATGAACAATTGATTTGATTTTGAGCAATGAATGCCTAATTCATTGTGAAAAGCTAGATCAATTGCAGTTTAGAAACCTAATGTCTGAATCATTTCTCTGTTAAATGAAGCTGAAATGCAGCAAATTTAATTAACATAAATTTACATCTTCACTGTGTGACATTTCTGATGGATATTATTATGCATCTGTCTGCAGAGTGGAGATAACTTCACCATCTCCTGCTCTGTGAAGCATTGAGGCGCTGGAGGTGTCAAGCTAATTCTTGTCAACGATCCACCTAGACTGTCTCCGAGGAGAAACAACAACACACGGACACAAGGTTTTGATATGTAACGGGGCCTCCCTCCTCCTGCTGTCCGCCCCCTGTATACACACACATACACACACACAACAGGACTCAGATGATCCGGATGATGGCAGCTTGCTGGTTGTCAGCAGGCATTATAGACAGAGAGGGATACATCCGTGCCTCTAATAAGACCTCATTAGGGAGAACAACAAGAGGACTTGGTGTAATGACATGTTAGGTATTTTTAGTCAGATAGAAATTGGATAGATACTTTGTGTATTAGAAATGTTTAGTGGAGATAGGATGTCTAGTTAGACTGTTAAATGCTTAGTCATGCTTATGAGTTTCTACAGGGTACATCTGGTCAAGGATAACTAGAGAGAAGAGTTGATGACTGTCAGCAGACAGGGTGTTTAATATTATTATTATGACGTGTATAACTGTAGCCTTAGCCATAATATGTTCTTATGTTTAAGTCATGACATGTTACTAGAGGTCGTGAGAATGTTTTTAGCTACACACCACTTAACCAACAGACACACACACATTGATTTGCTTCATGTTTTGACTACTGCTATGACCAGCTGCAAAGCTGGTAACAGAGACGTCTCGGTTGACGTTCCTGTGTAGTATGGGGCTAGCCCAACCCAAGGGATATAATGTATAGGCCTGGTGGGTTCAGGGTCTTCCATCTTACATCTGCCTGCGAGCAGGTTGGAGGTGCAAGATACCTGAGTGTGTAATGTTAATTTTACCTGTGATCCTTTGAATAAATCAGCACTGTTTTGAAGTTACTTGGACTGTCTCGTCTCTCAGAGTTAGCATGGTAACAAGAACCAAAAGTCTTTCAGACACCTGCTGTAGCACCAAGTAGGGGAAACAATTCAGATCATAAGTCAGCATCATCTTCACCTCAGTTATTTGATGTGAAGGCACTTATAGGAGTATTGTGTTCCTCCAGGCCAACTTTGTGTGACCTAGTGTCACCATAAATTAGATGTCTGAAATTCAATTTCAGTGGGAAAACCGACATGTGAGCTTTGTTTGTTATAATGCATTAGAATAAAAGGTTTGTTTAGGTTTAAGTGGAATCTTGCAACAAATGCAATGTAGGCTATGGCCAAAGCCTCAGTGTGACTTCTAAATATTCAGTGATAATTCATTACTGATGATATAATGATTACATGCTGATCATTTGTCTGTATCTATCCTTTGTCCATGTTCATATCAGTTTTGCACTTTACAGTTTACATAAAATGCCAAAGCAGGAAGTAGATTCTAAAAGCTCATACTTTAAAAAGGTTTATGGATTCTACCACACCTTCTGCTAAACCACAGCTGAATTTTACCTTCTGCTCAGTCGATCTAGGTGTGATTTTTTTTTTTCAGGGAAAACAGTGCATTTAATAAAGTAGTGTTGAACAAATAGAAGGAGAGAAGGCCTTTTGTGATGTTGTATAAATACTATGTGGTCTGGATAATTAACAGCCACCTGCTCTCTGATTAAAGCTCTAAGGGGAGCGCAGCAGCACCACAAATCAAAATGGGTCTAAAACTTGTCTGATCATAAAGGACAGCACAGACCTTTGACTCTATATCCCCTGTGCATCCATCATAATTGCACAGGGCAGTGCATCCAGAATATAAATGTGACATGCACTGATGTTAAAGGAGACCTGAGCTGTGAGCTGCCGCCGGCTGCGTCAGCTGGCCAGCGATGTTAAACTGACCCTGCTGACAGAATGTTTGCATGCTGACAGTGCAGTCGTCAGGGGTCAGCAACACAAAGGCCACAGGTTGGACTGCTCAAGTGAAACTCCGGCTAAGTGAAATTTGGTTCATAACTTTTTTGTTTTGCTGGAAATGTAGATGGGAAAAGACACAGTGGCAGTGAGACTCACCTCATGTCACCAAAGTCACAGGAACAGTTGTTCCTTTTTACTGCTTTAGCTGTCATTGCGGGAGCCTTTGTTTTTCATGTGACTTTACTCAAAGCAAGAGACTATGACAGTGTGATAGTTAGCCACCTAAACCATGCAGAGCGCGCAGGACGGCTGTCAGTGCCAACCCCCGCCTTCATGTTGCTTTTCTCCTGGTGTAATTGCAGCACAGCAGCAGTGGTAGAAGTCATATTCCCACTAGCACCAGATCCTCATGTTAAATACTGACATCACTGTTTGGCCAATTAAAACTTGCTTTGTATTTCAGCAAATAACAGAATTGTGATGAGTACAAGCAACACGGGTTTGCTGCTGGATTCTGCTGATTAAAACAAAACCATCACTTTCATTACCACTTTCTGACCTATACTTGTGACTTGGCTACACTTTTTCTGGTTTAACATCAGCAAAACATTTGTGTATCTCCAATTTTTAATTTCTGCATCTGTGCCGTCTCTCATCTAAAGTTGGAGCAGAAATGACAGCATCTCCTGCATTCAGATGATGTTTGTTTGCACCGTCCCACTCAGCTTATTTTTCTCTGTGATTTCAAATTGAGAGTTCTTCTGGGTTAATTTAAGTGGCCCTTCTGAAAGAACTCTAATTTAAATCTACCGTGGTTCTGTTGGGAATATTAATAGTCAACTTTGGGTGCTCAGCTGTTATAACCCCTAAACAGAGATAACACTGAGCCAGCGTGTGAAGAATGAACACACCCAGAGATTGTTGGGCTAATCTGCAGTGACACAATAACAAATCTAGGGGATTGCTTTTAATCACAGACACTGTAGATGAGACGAAGTCTGTCTCTTTGTGTTTAAAAAGCCTCTTTTCTGTTTTCATCCATAAAGTGGATTTAGAGTCAATGCCTGCATAAAATTATTAGTTTCTTACAAACAGGAAGCTGTTTTTTCACAATGGTAGTTTTCTTCCATCCATCCATTCTATAGCACTTATTCCTTCACAGGGTCTTTGGGGGCTGTAGCCAATCCCAGCTGACACTGGGTGAAAGCCAGGGTCCACCTTGGACAGGTCGCCAGTCTGTCACATAGACAACCAACCACACATCCTCACTCTTACGGGCAATTTAGAGTCGCCAACCAACCTAAGATGCATGTCTTTGGACTGTGGGAGAAGCCGGAGCACCCGAAGAGAACCCACACAGGCACAGGGAGAACATATAAACTCTGCACAGAAAGGCTGCAGGCTTGAACCCGGAACCATCTTGCTATGGGGTGACAGCGGTAACCACCACACCACTGTGCTAAACTAGTGCATTATTAGTTTGAGGCCACATGCATATCTGCCAGACGAGTCCATACATCTTTTCCTGTAGTGCTGAGTCCACCCCTGTCAGCATGGCTCTTGTTCCTCAGTGCTTTGTCTGTTTAAAACACTTTACCTGACATGGCTTTGCTGTCATGAGTAAAAATGGAGAAAGAGCGATTTTGAGCCGACACTAGCCAGGGGCCATGTCAACAAAGGATTCAGTGGGGTTTCACTTCTGTCAATGCAGTCTGTCGGTGTCTGTCCCTCCTCCCTCCCACGACCATTTGTGGTGTCCAGCACCAAATTCTTTTGGACCTACAGTACTCCCTGTGCATGTCACTCCATATCTCAAGTGTTGTCCCTCACTGAGCTACCTACAGTGAGTTTTAGCTAACTGGTTTGAACCTTAAAACATTATCAGTGATGAATGGATATTGCATTTCTAGCTTGTTGAAACCGCTAAAACCAGCTTTGGACTCCTAAATGCCTGCAGTTTGGTCAGTTCATCTGTTCAGCTTTATTTCACATGTCCTCATAATTCATCATAATGTGGTCTGGTCATCACAAGCTTTATAGGAATGATAACATTTTATTGCCTAGCTTGAGAAACTTGGCAGGAAGTGTAATCATTTGTGGTCAGAACATGTTCCTTCAAACTCTTCTCTAAATCAGATTTTAATGCTTTATATAATTTGATCTGTACAAAGTGGCCATTATACTCTATACTGTTCCTGATGTGGTTTAAGAGGTTGCTGATCATTTGATCAGGGACTCAGTGACTGCAGTTCTTTGCCAGGTTTTTCATGTTTCAAGGCCAGTACCAGAAGCAGGCTGTTGTAAAGCTATTCAGTTTAATTCACTTCAGTTTATTTGCATAGCGCCGATTCACAGCAATGGTCTCAGGGCACTTTACATAACAAGCTCTAGACCTTACACTATTATCAGGAAAACCCAACAAATCCCCTCTGAGTAAGCACTCGGTGACAGTGGAGAGGAAAAACTCCCTTTAATGCAAGAAACTTTTAACAGACAGGGGTTTTGGTGGATGGTCTTCTGCCCTGAGCAGATAGAGGAGAGAGAAAAGAAAGGTGTCAAGTAGGAACAAACAAAACAACAAATCACAGGTTAATGTGGCCGGTGACCGCTCATCAGAAACATACAGCTCTGGAGCCAGGGATACGAGGTACTGCGAGGTACTTGTAGAGTTTACAGAGATTACCTGTTCAACGTCCATGCAACACACATTGGGTAAAATATGACCAACATAAGTATTTTGGAAAGAGTAACAATAAAAGATTGATTGACCAGTGATATAATATTTATATGCATTTTAAAACAGCCGTTTTTCTAGACTGTTGAACCGTGGAATGTATTTAAACATGCCAATCCAGTTTAAAAAAAGACAGGATGTTAAGAAGTGTTCATCAGTCCCAACTTTCCCTGCAAAACGGCTGTGCACTCTGCTAAATGACAATGTATGCACGCAGTAAAACGCAAGAAATATTTTAAGTAATGAATTAAAGATTTTAAAAATGTGTTTGTGGGTACCTGGAGAGTATAAATAATGCATTTGCAAATGGATCCATATAAGCCCAAATGAGATTTCTACATTCATTTCTTCAGCCAGCTCACAGTAAAGTTTAATGGCTGCAGTTTGATTTTTTCCTCATCAGGCAGCTATGAGCAGATTGTAGTTCTATTGATTGTCTTTGCAGGATATTTTCTGGATATTTTTGCAATGCACACCACACCAGATGAAACACATTTAGCTGGTCAAGTAATGACTTGTGTGCTGATACTATGCAGTGTAACACAGACAGGAGCCGAATGTTCCACCTAACTCACTTCCCTAGGTATAACTGAAGGCACAACGCCAACATGTAGTGTTGTTAAATTAGCCAGGAGGCTCCAGTGTTTCTATGTTGAGGCTGTAATTACAAGAAAACTTTGAAATTAGAGTTTAAAGCAGGAAAATATTATCAGAACCATGTCTGTGTCATCATCGGTATTAAAAAATCATTAAAAACTGCACATGGAAAAAAGCTTTTCAGCAACTCCTGAGTGATTGTTGC